AGCATTCCAACTTGTATTTATATTGCACTTATAATGCAGTATAATATCCCAAGGCACTTCACATGGCATTGTGAAACAAATGCAGCAGTCAGCCTCAGAATGAGATATTGTATTAAGGAAGATGACCAAAAGCTTGGTAATTTTAGTAAGTTCTTAAAAAGGGTTCCACTGGACTTTTCTCTTTCCAAAGCTGCTGCCAGAACTGATGTATTTCTCCAGCACTTTGTGTTTATTGAAGTTTAAGGAAGAGTTTTAAGGTGGAAAAGTGAGGTAGAATTGTACAAATGTTTAGGAAGGGTATTCCAGAGTTACACTTGACTTGAAAGCTGAAGGTGCAGCCATCAATAGCACAGCAATTAAAACTGGCCATGCTCAAGAGGACCGTAATTAGAACAGCACACAGTTTTTTGACAGGGTTGGGGCTAGAGTATACAGATATAAGGTGGAGAAATGGGCAAGGCCATCAGGGATTTAGAAACAAGAATGAGAATTTTAAAATGGAAACATTACTTATCCAGGAGCCAATGTAGGTCACTGAACAAAGGGATGATAGTTAAATAGGATCTGGTATAAGTTAGGGCATTGGCAGCATTGTTCTAGGTTTCTTCAGGTTTATAGAGGATAAAACCAAGAGTGTATTAGAATAAGAAAGTATAGCTGCAACAATAGCATGTTTGAGGCATTCAGCAACAGATGAGCAGACACAGGAGCAAAGTCAGATGATGTCCTGAAATGGAAGCAATTAGTGACACATGGACATATGGCTGAAAGCTCACCATGGGGTCAGTTCTGCCAGCCTTGGTTCAGCTTCACACAGCTGTCATGGAGAGGGAAAAAGGTGGTGATCAGGGAGTGATGTGTGTGGTGGGGTCCAAAGGCAATGGCTTAAGTCTTCCCAATATTTAAAATGTTGGAAATCTTTGGTCACTTCTACGCAATTTCAGACAGTGGAGAGTCATGAGCGCTGATACTGTGTTAAAGCCAAGTGTTATCAGCATAGAAGGAAGATAATGTGCATGCACTATAATATAAAATCCATTTTCACTTGCATACCTGCAATTATAATAAAAAAAAATCAACAGAAGAAAAATCACCCAAGCAATGCACTTAACTAGGCCAGAATTTATCTTCTGAAATGGCCCTTCAATTACAGATATTGGTAGGTTGACCAATTCATGATTCATTGCTGCGAAGCTGGGCCCCATGGTGACTCCTTCACCAGTGGCATCTTCTGACTGCTGCATGCATCATCTACAGGATGTACTGCAGTAACCCATCATACCCCACAGTCCTACCTCCACCAGTGAAAAGAATGAGATCAGCAAAATCATACGAAAGCCATCAGACATAATCACCCATTGCCCTAACATTTCCACTTGCTCGTTGCTGGCTCAAATTTAAAATTGAGAGCCCCATCACCAGAAAGAACTTCTGCAGTTCAAGTGCAAAGCTCACCACTCTTGCTGCAAATGCCAGAAGATGACAAATGTTTTGGACACTCATTTTCATGCTCATGCAGACTCCCCTCCACCCAAACACTCTAAACAAAGGTTTAATAACTTGTCAGTTTAATTTTTAAATGTGTCAATCTACTCAATATAAACAGCCATTCTTCTAATTCAGTTGGATTTCCCAGTTATTGAACCAGGTGTTCTAAAGAGAGTAAAGAGCATCAGCCATGTTTCATGTTCAATGTTCATCTTATAAGCACTGGGGCTCTCCACTAACTCCCTAGACTCTGTGATACTGAACTCACAGTATTCTGAAATCACTGCTGCTATGTATGTTCCCAAAGGAAGACAAACATTGCAAATGGTGTTTAGAGACAAAATGTTTCCTTCCACCGAAGGCCACAGAACAAAACTAACAAAGCAATTTAATTTCAAAATTAATATATTTCTATTTTATACTTTATTCAGCTCTGTAGTGCCACCCTTACATTTTTGCAGCAAGTTTTGTACAAACAGTTTCCATCTCTAAAGAGTGTTGTGTTTAAATAAATATTTTATAAAATAAAACTCCAAATAAATATTTAGACTAATCAACATATTGGCAAAAATAGAAAAAGAATCAGTAACTTTTTTTTTGATTAATATACAGGTTGCCAAATGTACCTAAGCAATGCAATAATTGGAATTTGTATATGGGGTAATACAGCCCGATGTTAGCAGGAGAGAGTCAGACATTCACCTGAATGCACAATGTACCAATAACCGGAGTCCTTCCTTCATATGGCACCATTCACAGTATTAATGTGGTATATACAAAAATATATCAAAGTAACTCTAACAAGGAAGCAGGCTCTTGCTATTTTCACAGCCCAAAGAAAGCAAGAAGATGCCTGTGAATGTAACGACCTGTCAGAACGCCCAAAGAAGGCCCAGTGATTCGTCCGCAAACTGTATCAACGTCCCGATTGTACGCTTAACTGATGACCCGATAGGTGCTCTACAAACATCCAGGCAATAAAGTGTCACTGCATTATAGTTCAAAAGGTGCTTCTCTCTCTCTCTCTCTGGGATCCTCTGGCAGACTCTGCATGGTTTATTCGAACCTATTTCAACCCTCGTTTCACGTAATGATTGCTGGAGAGAGGAGGGAGAGAGAGAGAGACGGGAAAGGGCTCGTCCACTTCATTGCATAATGTCAAACAGACCAGTCCAACCAGCAGCTTGTCTCCTCGCTGGCTGCCAAAAAACTTCTAGGAAAACCATGAGCTGCCATCCACGATGTAATCATAAGGCAATCCTAAAAGAAAACGGCCCCCTCTTGTTATTGTACTCAATATGGGCCAGTTTGTATTATGATTTACTACAATTTCAGGTTTACATGGAGGGACAGAATTGTTCCAAGAATATTCATGCTTGAAGATATAAGTATATAATTCAAGAAACCGTTTTGATTTAAGATCCTGCAGGGAGAGCAGGTTGGAATTTAAATCTACTTTACCACAGACTCAGACTGTAAAGGACAGGCCATCCATGCGGGCATCTGAAGCGCTAAGGTCTTTGCTTCATTTAATGGCCAGTTAATTTAACCATCGTGAAGAGCCACATACGTATTTAAGGACAAAATAGCTCCCTCGAACAAATGTCTACTCGGTTACTAGCAATTCTACTACTCTGAAGAAGAGTCCGGACCCGAAACGTCAGCTTTCCTGCTCCTCTGACGCTTCCTGGCCTGCTGTGTTCCTCTAGCTCTACACCTGGTTTACTCTGACAGGAGCTCGCTTTCTGCAAACTGTCTATGTAACAACCAGCCAGAGAACTCGAACTTCAGAGGCTGCCTTGTGTCGCACATATTGGTGCGGGGAGGAAAGGTTACTGAAGGCACTGTATAGCAATGCCATTGCAGCTTCCTAGAGATTGCACACATTTAGGTTGTTCTTGCGGAGAATCGGATGGTTTAGTTGACAAGCAGCCTTGAAATAGGATTTCAGCACCTTTCCCTTAAGAGGAAGCGAGTCCACACACACTAGTTAAGGGACAGCGGGTAGCTACAATTTTAAAGAAACTCCTTTAGAACGAAAGTGACAATGGGATTAAGTTGAACGCATATCTCAATGAACGACAGAAGTTACTGCTGTTCAATTAAATAATGCATTCCCCAGGTTTCCAACGGTAACAACCCAAACAGAACACGTTATACCTCCCCTGATAAGCTTCAACCTTCTCGGAGCACTGTTCGAGAATCGAGTTCTGATTTTCCAGGCTCTAATGAATCCTGAAGAGAAAATAATTGATCATTCAAGGTACAGTTGTCCTGTATTATTAGTCACACGGAATCGGGCTTAACATGGATATTCTCAAAACGGAATTTCATAATGAGTACCAGGTAACAAAGGTAATGTTAGACTTAAATTTATAAACTGAGTGTTTAAAAAGACTTTTAATCGAACTTTAGAATTGATCGTCTTTCACCAAGAATGGGATGTCTGCGCATTCCACAGCGAGTAGCTCCACATGGAGTGGGTGGAAGCATGTTCTAACTCAACGTTAGTTACACTGATTCGGTTTTAAAACGGGATCGGGGAGCTCTATCTACCTCCTCGCTCCTGTGGTCACTAAATGCAGTTACCAAACATTCACTTCCCGCCTGCAAGCCAACTTGAGGCAATCAAGGCAACGCATTGCGCAGCAGAGAGGCCACTACCATTGCTAAAATATTCGCATGATGACTGTTTAGCAGCACATGGCGAGTGGTTTCGTTCAGTGTAGGAGATGCTATTGTGCCCGGAACTGCGAGTTAGAACTGTGGGGCGCAGATTTAGAAAAATTCCCGCTGCTGAAAGACACTTGCTGGGGGCGGGGAGGGGGGGGGGGGGGGGGGGGGGGCGAGGAAAAGAGGATGAGAACGAGAGAATGGGACGGAGGTGGGGGAGAACTTTCTCACTATCCCATTACACAAATGCCAATGTTGCTTTTCAAGACACCAATAACATGCCTGCCCAGCACTTCCTGATAGATAGAGGTCACCTTAAGTGATGCCCCTGTCCTCTGAGCCATTTCATTGAAACACTTCGAATGCTCAGCTTCCAAGACGTGGAGCTCATACTCAGCCGAAACGGAGTTCTCCCCCCTTCTGAACACGACCAATTATTCACTAACATCACATCTACACTGCGCCCAACCTTCAGAATCCCTCAGAATCCGGCAACTAAACTATCAAAAGCGGTTTCAAACGTGTGTCCACAACTGAACTACGCGAACATGTAAATATGCAAATAATGATGTTTGTGATTGAGAAGGAGAGTAAATTTCCAGTGGACGATATCACACATTTCCAAGCCAAGCAATAAATATTGAATACGTCGATCGTGAAGACCAGACTGCATGGTTTTCCCGTTAGTTGAGTGGCGGACAGACGAACACTCGGCCAGTGTCTGCTCCATAGTCCCCTACACTGGCAGTGATGGAGGGGTGGGATGAGGGCTGATGGGGGATAGGGTAGTCCCAAGCCTCTATATCTCAGGTCAAGCATCACCACTCGAACATGTGCTTCGGGGAGTGCGCGCTGGGAGGTGGACTCATCCAATTTCTCTCTGGTCAGGCAGTTGACAAATGGAATCTCAGGAATTTGCCGGCAGAGGAACTCACTGGGCCTACATAACGAACACAGGAAGATCCCATAAGAAGGTGCTTAGCATGAGGATTGACCGTCCCTGTTCTCCCTGCAGGTTACACATGCCCAGACCTCCAGGTAAAGGTGAGGCTTTTGTTTCGGTTTTCAGGAAGGAATCTATTCAAACATCCAACTGAGGGTTCAGCAACCATTCTCTCCCCTAATCCCCTCTCCCCCAAGACCTACACCATGGTCCCGTGCATGTCCTGGGCTGGCCTTCAGAATCCCCTCTCGGGAATCTGACTCAGAAAGCTTTCTTGTTTGTTTTGGAGAGAATGTGCCTTCTGAACTTCCACAGGGTTAACATTGGTCACGGAGATAGCAAGAGTGTCTTGGTCATAAAGGCTTTTCGATGGCTTTCGGACAAGGTGCGTTGGAAAACTTCCTGCACACGGTGTTGGAGTTCTTGCACCGACAGCCCGGTCGCTTGACGCCGTCGTAACATCCCTGGCAGAGGCGGAGGCCGGCTTTGGCTGGTAGGTAGCACCATAAGCACGGCATGAACGCAGAGATGAAGCCCATGGCGGTCCAGCGGGCGCAGCAGTGGCCTTGGCTGCAGGAGCACGGGTTGTCGGCACAGTTGTCCTCGTCGTCACTGGAGCAGTGATAAAAGAGACCCTTCACACAGCACACACAAGTGCCGTACTCCAGAGCGCTCTGCAAAGAGCAAAGGCACCTCTGCTCACAGAGCCAGCACGAAGGCAGAGTCCTGGGGGCCGTACACTCGCTGCATTTGCACTTGCCGCACTGCTCACACCGCAGCGAGTGTTGGCTGCAGTCCTCGCCGCCAGGAACCTTCTTCAGCTCGGCTTTCAGGTCAGCTTTGGGCTGCGCCCGGATAATCCCTTGGCCTGAAGGAGACGAGGTCAGGCTGAGCAGCAGCCTCTGCTCCGAGGTGCTACTGCTGCGGGACGCCGAGCTGACGGTGCTGGTGGACCGGCTCAGCTGCTGCTGGGGCCCCGAGGCCCGCCGATCCGGCTCGCCGGGCCGTTCCCACTTGTGGGCCGAGCCGCCGGGGCTGCTCCTGGGGCCGCTTAGCACCGGGCGCTCCACGTAGTCGTTGTTGGCTCGGATGGCCCGTATCTGGTCGATCGAGAGCACCGGGCCGTGCTGCAGCTCCCCGGGGTCAGGATCAAACCGCTGCCGCCCCCTGTCGTGAGCGAGCTGCAGGGATAGGGGCGATGCGAGCGCTGTGGGAGTCTCCATCTGAATGTGGTCGGTGCAGGCCCGCGGGCTGGGTGCACATTGGTCAGACCTGGGGTGGGGACAGTACAGAGAGAGAGAGGTGAGCGAGGTAATCCTGCAACACTAAACCCCCAGCCATCCTAGAGCAGCTCCCTGGACCGCCCATACCCTGACCTTCCTGGAATACCCCCAGCCCCCTCCTCCTGCTGCCCTAAGGGACGGGGATGAGGAGTGATACCCAGAACTATGACCAAATACCCCGCAGCTTTAAACACTGGCGCCCTACAGCCTTGCCCAGCCCACAGTTTAAACATTCTCAGTATTTCAGGGACAGGCCGGGGCCAGCTGGGATCGGGTCCCCGTTATCACGCCCACAGCATCCCAGTTGGATCAGCCTGGAGTTTAACCTTCAGGACGATGGTAGTTTGTTAGTGGATGGACCTGGGACCGGTGAAGATTGGCACCAGCCTGGCATCTTGGCACAGGCATGTGCGGATGCTCCCAACTAGCATTAATTGGGAGCAATGTGTCCTCAGTGAAAGAGACAAACGTGCTCCCGTTCCCGGTGAAGGTGGCGCGGAAAGCTCTTTGGCAAATTTCACCTTGACCATCCCTCGCTAATTGCTTTCGCTGACAGATGAAAATTTCAGGCCCTTCCTCTGCCGGGTGGTACATGAAAGCCAGAGCTTTCAGCCCCAGGGAAGGCTTCCTAACGGACACGCTGGGAACCGGGGCGATTCCCAATGTCAGTATCCCAGACTCAGTGAGCCGGCAGCGGAGAGATTGCTCTTAGCTCCCGCGCAAGGAAAGACTTAATGAATCAAAAATATCCATCCCAATCTTCCTAAACCCAACCTAATCCCTAGTAATCTGAACTTTATTTTTAAAAAGTCAGCAAGAGCACCACGAAAGAACTGTTCTCATTACGTCCTCCAGAATTACTGTGTTTTCAAATCCCAAACGGGAGATTCAAGAGATCCTGCCTCACCTGATGAATATTTGCATCATTTGTCTTTGTTTAAATTGCAGGGGATCATCGCTTCGGGAGTCAGGCAAGACTATAGTGAAGCGGTGTTGAGTGCGGCCGGCCGGTGGGACCCGGTGAAGCAGCACTCCTCTATCGAATAGCAGAGAATTTGCAATTCCGGATGTGCCGAATCCGATACAGCAAGCTGCCTTGAAATGGATACTACATGCGAAAGTCAAATACTGTAGCAGGGCCATTAGACAGCGCTAGGGACTGAGCAGTCTCTCGGTTCACACACACACGAGACAACTAACAGGAGCACATGTACTAGGGTGGCACCCCTCATTCCTCTCTGCAAATCCCACCCAATTCAAGCAGCATTTAACAGAACATGTTTACTCATCTCCAACCCGGGTTCGGTGCGGGGATTAATATGTCATTTACATTAAAGGTGACAAGGTTAATCCCAAGTAAAATCGTAAACGCAAACATGCAAATACAACAGCAAACAAGGGACAATCAGTAAATGTTATTTAAGAAAAACAACCGGCCTTCTCCCTCAGTTAAAGAGTTCAACATTTACCACAACATTGCTGTGAAGACTTGTTCTGTCTGTAGCCAGGGCTTACCCGAAACAGCTAGTGAAGTTTACACACTGCCTTTCACTTCTGTACAGACTCTTTAATGGATATGACTGGAGCCGGCTACTCACGCACAGTTACATTAAAATGAGGCTACTCAGGCTTTTGATCGATATTAAATATTATCTCCTCCCTCCCCCTCCCCTTCACACAAGTAACAGGATGCTGCAATCGGGTCTAGTTTAATGCAGTCCCCTGTGTTGAGGGAGAAGTGATCATTGATCGGAAAGATCTCTGCAATTGCATGAAAAGAGCGTTAACCTGTCTGCATAAGATATCCGACTCCAGTCTGCCACATGCTTAGAGAGACGAGTGCGTACAGCTGATGTGTATACATTTGTACAATATGTACAGATTACAGCAGGTCATGCCTTATCCTGGCGTGTAGAGTCCTCACCTCGCCGGCAATGTGAACTGCTCCTTGGCGATGCTGCCAGTTAGATTGGACAGTCAGCTTGTCTGCTGCGCTCCGAGTACAGCCACGTTGTCCGAGCAATGACAAGCTCCGGGAATGAAGGGCACCGTATCCTGGGCTGTCAGCGCTCACTGATGCGCTGGAAAGAGGAGCTCTCGACCAAACATCCCCTTCACCAGTGCCGCAGTTCTGCTGCTCGTTACACTGATACACGAAGGCAGAGGCTGCGAGGGAATGGGGCTGGGGGGTGGGGAGTGGGAAGAACAGGAAGGATCAGCAAAATGCACCACACACACAGTCCCCTCTCTCTCCTCAGCGTACAGGGATTTGGCCGGTTATAGCTAATGGCTAAATGGCGTCATTCACGTGAAATTGAATAGGCCATTTGCCGTCCCTAAGGCTTCTCCGCATCCGGTGGTGGGCCATTGGTGAAGGCGAGCAACTATTTAAGGCGAGCCTGTTAAATCACCCAATCTGTGTCGGGCACAGTCAGAAGGCTCGCCTGAACCTTTCCGAGGAGGCGATGTTTATACCGACCCCGAACTGTTTTATGTCCTGGCCTGAGATTTTGCTCGGAAACACCTCCAAGATCTCTATGCAGATATATAATTTTTTTTTATTTTAAAAATCTTAACGGGAGCTGATGGATGTCTATTTTGTGTTTTTATTGCACTCGGGCAAAAGACAGGCATTTGAATAAAATGAATTAGTATTTCCCATCCATTCAAAGCCATTATCGATACTTTCAAAATTGAGATAACGTGAGAGTCAGGAAGAGAGAGGGGGAGATATAAAGGAGTTCTGCCGATTGTGTACAAGAATGAGAACTCCACCTGTTAATGTATTCTGAACGGGACATTAACTCGGGCTCCCGTTCGCTTAATTCGTAAAGTGCTTTCTCCCTTAGACTGAATTTTCTAACCTTTTGTTGAATAAAGCTTTAGACTTTTAATCTTATATTAATGTGTGAGACCTGGCTATTAATTACATCCAAGACTTACAATAAGTCTGTTTGTGATTTACAGCAGTATGTATCTCACTGCTCAGTATCCGGTTTGCGGAGTGAGAACTGTGGTGGTGAATCAAAGCCGTCATCAAGTGGTATTATTTGGTTCTGCAGAAGTCTGAATGACTGTTGTAAGAAACATTTCACAGCCCTTGTTCGCTCCTAACCATCCTTCTGAATCATCCGCCAACATATGACATCAGGGTACAGAGGAGGGACTCCAGTTCACTCTCACACTGAGTGCGAGGTCACTGGGTTAACAAAGCCTCTGAACTACTTGTCCAAGACATAACGATTTGGCATGAGTGTGATTCTGTCAACGTTCTTACTGCGCCTAGCCTATACTTTCATCTCTACTTTCTGCCCAACTCCCCAAAGAATTGGGATCAGAGAGACTCAAACTGTCACGTGTTTTGAGCAACCATCTCTTCAATGGCTATTTTCACCTTTTGAAATAAGCTGTTTTGTTAACTGCCTTTTACTGATTAGGAATTATGTAAGTAACCCTTTGCGGACATCTCCAAGGAAATTGTTGATCACTGGTTGCGTTGCTTTTTAATTCGCAACACTGTGACTCGATCAGAATTAATTCATCGCTGAAATATCACCCCACGTATCGGTGCGCATTTAAAAAAAAAACTTCAAATCAGCAAGTACTTTAATGATATTGTTCTTTAACCACTACTCCCATTCCCTGTTTCAAATAGTTGAATTTTCACTTTATCTTGTTAACCAAATATAACATTTTTAAAAATGGAAATAGCGATAAGTTTCAACCGTAGCTTTCACCTTTTTCTTCTAGCTTCCAAGATCCATTTTAGAGGATTTACAAATGGAATTTTCATTTATCTTAGAACTAGCCTAACACAGACGAGAAACACCACCTAGGTACAACTATCTCTCCCAGAAACTATGCAGAGCCTGCTCCCAGGAGCCCAGCAGCGAGGAGATGAACGCTGGGAGGCTTAAATGCCAACACAAAAAAACACGAAATCTTTATCCTGAGGAATGCAGGCCGTCAGCCAGAGTGTCTTAAATAGACACTCTTTTATACAGAGGTAGGAGTGAGTATCAGAGCAGTTTGACTGTCCTTCCCCCATCAAATGAAAAACAAACAGGCCACATTTCATCCCCCTTTACCACCCATCTTTCAAAACAAAATCCAATTTCCTAAGTCTCACCATACATATACAAACCAGCTACATTTCACATTAACAAGAACATGGCTTTTTTGTATGAAAAGGTGAAAAATCTTTCCACATCTAATCCTAAAGAAAAGTTTGATTCATTGTGAAGTCCCAAATCTAAGTCACATTTTTCCAACACTGTATAGTGCCATATCATGGTGTTGTATTCCACCAAACTTTGTAAAGTAACCATTTACTGCCCCTTGTGCACACTATAAATTAACAAAAATATAGAAGATGTATACAAAAAGGAAATTCAGACTTGCAAATACAATTGTATTAGTCTGATCAAAATCTTGTCAGTTGGATTGCGAGTTTAGCCATCACATTATGGTTGGGCAATATTTCATGGATCAATCTGAAATGGTTATTTTATTTTCGTGGTGACTGCAATGTGTCAACTAAATAAACATATATAACTAGCATGAAGTAGTTCTTAAATATGGGCATACAACTAATACCTCTATTATTACATTCTTCAGGGATTCCAGTGGCTAGTGTTTCAGAAGAGCAGGATCTCAAATCCAGTAGTTTACTGCTTTATAAGAATGTGGCCATTTAGCCCATTATTCTACTATAAAGGTAAATATGTATAACAGGAATGCCCCTTTAAGCTTTAAAGATCTAACTCCATGATCACAATTTAAGAAATTGAATTCGATTTTTTCAAAAACATAGAAATAATCTGGTATCAGCACTTTAAAAAGGTCATTTAAAAACTAATTCATTTTGGCCTTTTAAAGATGAACATCTGTCATTCCTCCAAGTTCGATGCCATATATCCCTCTAACATGGCCTTGTAAGCCATTCAGTTGTAACAAATGGAAGCAAATGAGAATGGAAATATATACCAGATTTGTCAGAAATCTCCACACCTTGAGAATGCATTAAAAAAGAAAACTGTGTGAAATAAGGACCTTTTAAGATGAATTATAGGTTCATTGCTATTAATAGGAAAAAGCTGCTGATTGCATGATGCACACAGAGAATGTTTACAGTGCAGGAAGATTGGCAAGGTTCCACATGGTAAACTGGTTAGTAAGGTTAGATTACATGAAATACAGGGGTAACTGGCCAATTTGGATACAAAACTTGCTCAAAGATAGGAGACAGAGAGTGGTGGTGCAGGCCTGTGACCAGCGGTGTGCCACAAGGATCAGTGCTGGGTCCACTGCTTTTTGTTACTTATATAAATGCTTTGGATGTGAACACAGGTGGTACGGTTAGTAAGTTTGCAGATGACACCAAAGTTGGTGGAGTAGTGGATATCAAAGAAGGTTACCTCAGAGTACAGTGGGACTTTGATCAGATGGGCAGGTGGGCCAAAAAGTGGCAGATGGAGTTTAATTTAGATAAATCTGAGGTGCTGCATTTTGGAAAGGCAAATCAGGGCAGGACTTATACACTTAATGGTAAGGTCCTGGGGAGTGTTGCTGAACAAAGAGATGTTGGAGTGCAGGTTCATAGTTCTTTGAAAGTAGAGTCGGAGGTAGGCAGAGTAGTGAAGGCAGCATTTGATATGCTTGCCTTTATTGGTCAGTGCATTGAGTATAGAGAGTTGGGAGGTCATGTTGCGGCTGTACAGGACATTGATTAGGCCACTTTTGGAGTATTGCATTCAGTTTTGATCTCTCTGTTATAAGAAGGATACTGTAAAACTTGAAAACGTTCAGAAAAGATTTACAAGGATGTTGCCAGTGTTGGAGGGTTTGAGGTATAAGGAGAGGCTGAATAGGCTGGGGCTATTTTACATGGAGTATTGGAGGCTCAGAGGCGACCTTATAGAAGTTTATAAAATCATGAGGGCCATAGACGGGTGAATAGCCAAAGTCTTTTCCCCAGGGTAGCAGAGTCCAAAACTAGAGGGCAGACTTAAGGTGAGAGGGGAAGATTTATATGGGACTTAAATGGCAACATTTTCACGCAGAGGGTGGTGCGTGTATGCAATGAGCTGCCAGAGGAAGTGGTGGTGGCTGGTACAATTACAACATTTAAAGTCACCTCAATGGGTGTATGAATAGGAAGGGTTTAGAGGGATATGGGCCAAATGCTTGCAAATGGGACTAGATTAATTTAGGATTTCTGATTGGCTTCGATGAGTTTGTCCAAAGGGTCTGTTTCCATGTTGTACAGCTCTATGACTCTATGAGGTAATTCTGTTGGTCATATCTATGACAGCTCTCTATATTAGCAATTCAGTGAGATTCACTCTCCCAAGCTTTCCCCATATTCCAGGAAAATTCTTTTCTTCAGGCATCTATCCAATTCC